TGTGTCAATGAAGGGCTGAAATGGGAATTAACTTCACTGAAATGGCCATTCCAGCACTGCGTTTATGTGAGCTTCTCAACTAGTTGTCGTTCCTGGTAACACTGTAATGGTTCCTTCTCCTTCACCCCCATCCCCTGTCCAAGGAAAGTGAAGACGTTCAGTAGATTAATATCCCCTGAACATTTAAAAGCCACTGACAGAATCATGGTCTGTACATTAGCAGGTTTTTACAGTTCCTGTATGGAACGAGAATTTCAGCGCTTGAGTGATTCTAAATAGGAATTGCGCCCAAGCTGTATCGTTTTTCCGAAGTACGATTCCTTCCTCAATAGCTCCTACTGTCCGCTGAATCAGTTCCCATGATGTTTAAACTAATCGGCTCCGAAGATCTGCAGGCAGCGTGTTGGGAGCAGTCTCCCACCAGATAAGAAAGAAACCAATCGCAAATCAAACAACCAATAAAAAAATTCAATGTTGAAGTATTGCGCACGATCGAGCAGCAATGACGTCTTTCTTTATTTCGTGGATCGAAGGGACTAACCAGTTCGTAGTTCAGAGAGTTTATGTAATATGTACACAACGTAGGGGACCTCATAGATGGCTGTTATACACATGGCCATTCGCTCCCTTCTCAGTATCTACAAGGGCTCGCTATATTAGTGAGAAACTCCCCGGGACTCTAATCAGAATAGGGTAAATGATTAATTGAATGTACAATGCTGCAATCATTACAAGTAATGTTTGGCCGGAGGTGGTATAGCATTAAATGGGGCCCTAACTCACAGGCATGGTTGCAGGTTCGAATCCTTGTTCGATACACGCCAAGGGTTCCCCCTTCCCTCTGAGGTCGGTTAATTGGTACCAGATCCATCTCATAGGTTAAAAACCTGGCTTATACACCGGCTGGCCACCGCAACTCCTTGCATAAGCCGAAGCAACACACCATTACCATTTTGAAAGGAAGTCTAAAGCGAGGCCTATCCCCCAAATGGGTTTGATTTATAAAAGACATGATATTTACCTTTGTTTAGTCCTTTTTACATCTTCAGGCATGAGAAAGGCAACTATGGGAATGTTAGGCCATATATAATGAGCATTTTATCAAAAAATCAATCAACAGATTCAAATCAGCTCCCTAAATTACTCAACGGCACAGGTCACGATAAAGGATTTCTGAGGTTTCCCTCATAGTATGAATTCGAGGCTTCATACCATACCTGCCATTATAAGGCCGAAGAACGTCTTATATTGGGCACAATAAAGGACAAGAGATTGTATCGTGTGAATGATACACCCAAAGTGGACGAGTTTCAACGGCGCTGCAGAGGCTGCATTATGTCAAGAGATCCCCATATAGGAAGTTCAAACAACTTGTCATAACCTATGGCGTTAGTAAAAAGCAGTTTCGGACAATTTCGGCTTGACGTAGTTGGCTCTTTGCGCAGTTGGAGCATGTGAAATCTCGTCCAAACAACTTTACATGCCATTTTCGTCATAGTGATCTCGTACAACCCCTATTTCCACTACTTTAGGAAAGCCTAGCTTTTTGCAATGCGATGAGTTCTTTCGCTTTCTGTGCCACCATTCAACTGCTCTACATCAACGCTTATACTTTTCAACTCAAAAAGGATACTTCAAAATTATCGTGAACTGTCCCTATAAAAATAGTCAGAGCATTCTCTAAATTCTCTGTGATAATTTGGCTTTGGACACACCCCATTCAGTTTGTTCGAAAGTAATCTGAAGGGGGACAATGAAGAGTGACGAAGATTTCAATTTCAAAAAGAAAAGTCATTTCTCTACCTCTAAACATTCTTTTCGTTACTCTTTTTTCGTTCAAACTCAAAAAGTTGATTGTTTATTTTTCTGTACTGAGTCGAAGGCCTTAGATTTGGGGATTTCAGGATTTTTTTTTCTCCATTTTTATACGAGCCTATTCACTACAAGCCAACTCCATAATCAAACAGCCTTTGACTACATCCACGATTCCGATTGGAACGCACATGGGAATAAAAGTGGAAACGATTTACGGGGGAGGTCTAACCCTCTCAAAAACTTTTATTCACCGAAAAGTATAATGTGGAACGGCCTCACTAGATAGAGTAATGATAAATGACCCTGTTAAATAAATATAAGTAGGCATAAGCGAATAAAAATTAACCGTAGTGAGCGTATAAAAAGGGCAGTGACGTAGCGGCAAGTAGCGCACGACCACACCTACATGGTCACGGGTTCGAGTCTGAGTAAGACCGATATCCGCTCAGGCCAACCTAACCTCTACAAAGGTCACATATGCATTCAATACGCCACTACGTTTCTGAACGGAAGTAGAATGCGAGGCGCAACCCAGAAACGGGATTGATTCACGTCGAAAGGCTTCATCTCGATATCCTCGTTGACATAGGAAAGGATCAGGGATCAACGTCAAAGCTGAGATTTCATAAAAAGATACTGACGACTATCAAACAATTGTTTACATTTACACTTACTTGATCACTGAACCAATGGGATCCTATGGGATCGACAGACTAACGCTGGGTGCTCTTCATTACCGCTAGAAAGTCGCAATAGCTTACACAAGCTTGACTTTCCTCTTTTCAATTGGGCTCATTCAGAGTTGCCAATTACAATATTTCATACTTCATTATCTAGTTTCCTCTCACTTATTTTGAAGCACTTTTCTACAGCGACAATCTTTTCTCCAACAGTCTCCAATCACTCTCTTGCTTTATACCTCGGCATGATTGTTGTTTGGGATAATTATGTCCTTGTGCCTACGACGTTTCTAGGCGAACAAATTTATTTGGTCAAACGGCCAACGTTTTGACGCGATCGTTGTTTTCGGAGGCCAATGTTTCTCAGCTCAACGGAGAAAATCCGCTGTCGCCACAGGCAACTGTCAGCAGTGCCTTTCTCCTATGTTTTTTCGGTTTTCAAAGAATATTCTAAGATTCCGATAGAGCCAAAGCAAGGTCCCACTATTAACCTGGAGGGACTCGGAGTCTTCTGCCTTCTGAACCCTGACACTACCTTCTGTTATCAGTTCTTATCGTTCCCATTAGGCTCAAGCCCCATGGCAATTGAAATTATAAGCTTTCGATCGAACACAAGCACATACAAGTACATTTACATATATACACTACCTACACCCTAAACAAACACAAAGACAGCAAGACACACATTTAGCGACTTCTGTGTAGAAGAATCTAGACAGTTCTCGAAGTTCCTTCATAGCCATACAAGAAATTTCAATCCCATGACTAGTTATGCCCAGGATGCGGCTTCTCAGTGGATTGAATTGAGTACCATACAGCGCCTTTGTAGGTTCACACTGATGCTACTGGTTTTATTACCTCATCTACTGCATAATTAGAAGTGGCAGTGGCAAGATAGCTGGAGCAGTTACCATTTATCAAACAAGCTCGATCCTTGCCAGCGATATTAGGTTGTCTGGAAAGCACCTGCCAAACAATTCAAAGTATTTTTCTGGATTTTTTGGCACCTTTCGAAGCATAACCATAAAAACATAACCATTTCACCATTAAAGGGCACTACTCACTCGTAGTAAAAGGGCACTGCTCATTTAGGCGCATAACATATCAATAGATTTCATGATATAGCAATCGGTTTAACCCATCAAGGTTCAATTTCGACTCTCTTGTTCAAGGATGAAATCGAAAGGATAAAGCATTTTGGTGTTAATCGGTCTCGTCTGAGGGAATGCGTATGTGCTCAAACGGACTGGTTTTATTTAACCGACCCCGGAGGGATGGAAGGCTTGACTGGCCTAGGCGGATACCAATCCGGGATTCGAATCCGTGACCGTGCGTGTGAGATAGAACGTCACTTGCCACTCTGCACCTCCACCTGACTCTCTGCTTGAGACTTTGAAACTTCAGAAAGAGGTGTGCAGAGCATCGCCTAAAAGGATCTTTTGGGCCAATAACTTTACACAAGTTCCGATGGATTTCAGCGGCGCAGCGGTCAGATTCGAACTCATAAAGGAGTACGTGTTGAACAAGGAATGACAATACAACGATTATATGGTTGAAAGTTCAAGGGAGAGGTAGCCGGATATGTTATGCGTGGGTAGTGTCCCCACATTGTAACTCCATGGAAGCTTCCAGAAAACCCCGTGAGAAATCTGGGCCACCATGAAATTTTTGGAGATACTTTCCTGACAAACTAATTATACCGTGCGAAAGAGTTGGATTACCGTGCCACCTCTGTCCACTTTGGAAGACCACCGTCCGAAAAAACTGACGGAAATTGTGAAATGCATTACAACAATGGATTCTGTTAAGCCTTCATCATCCATCCATTGCCACGGATGTACAACATAGGAAAATCAATAAATATCGGGGCCAACAAAAAACTGTTTGCTATTCTGGCAACTACTGTGGTCATACGAAACCCATTTTCTCGTCTACGATCCTGGTGTCGCAACATTTTCCATATTTAGGCCTCAAACGTACATTAACTCCCCGAAATCTGATTGTTCTCCTTTCTCCACTTGTTCAACCTTCAGCTGAGCAAATGTCGAACACATGGCGCAATCTCGATCATCAGAAAATTGATACTACTTTCTCTGCATGATAGTCAAACGGAACAAAATTGGTCGATCATTTCTGGGATTTGGTTGCTTTTTGTGAGAGCCATTGGAATGCGCCATGCTTTCTAATCCATTCGGAATCACCATTACATGGAAATACTTGGGAAATCTCAAAATCGGCTAGAGGGAGCGAGGAAATTTCGGAGCTGGTCAGAATGACTTCTTCATCTTTTGGTGGTCCTCATGGGGGATGACAATCCGGCTATGGCTAATAGAGGCAGAACCTCTCTGGTCAGGGTGATGAACCGTCAAATCCGGTACCAATGAGCCCCATACCTTAGCGGAAACCTCCTAAGTTCATTCTGCCTTTATGAAACTATGCAGACGACTCATTCACAGCTCAGCCTTATCACCCGTTGTCTCCCTTGATAATGTCCATCTAATTTAGATGCGCTATCAACGTCGACCAGGTGAACACCTGCTGAATCATGCACCATATACGGGACCGATTCCACGAATTCGTGTGAAAAACCTCGACAAAAGTGCTACTGCCATCAAACCCTCCATCGATCAATATGATCAATACGAGGATCGTTCACCCACTGTAGTAAGTCACAACGCACACCACTGCTATTTCACTTTTTTTAAAAACAAATTGTGAATTATCAAATAGGGCAGCCTACGGTGCCTCCAAGGTTTCTTTGGCCTGGTAAATTCTGTGCCCTGTTTCTGAAATGGGACAATAGAGCCAGGATGAAACGGGATGGGTAAGGGGTCCTATTCAACAATAGGGTAAAAGTGGCCGCATTGGTTAACGACTTGGCCCTATTTGCATATAGTCACCCCGCCCTCATTCCATCCAATTTCTTCCCAACTAGGTTCAAATTTCGATTTGTCTTGAAAATGATATTGTTTTCAGCATTAGCACGACTTCCCCGGCACTAAATCTCACTTGTTTGCTTCAACCGCCATGACCATCCCACAATAAAATAGATGTAATACTGTTCTCACCAGAGAAGCTTGGCACCCTTTTCTCAGGCGTTTTGCCATCTGGGTAATCCAACTTATTTGGGTAGACGGGGGCTCGCTTAGATTCTTTTGTATCGTACAAGTGTAATATTAGTCTTCAAAGGTCTTGCTAACCCCTGAGTCGTAATTCCTGCCCATTCGAGATTTAAGACCATCTTAATTGAATCATAAAATTAATGAGCTTGTAATTATCACTAGACACCGACATGTACCGTGTACATCTTATTCAGAACCTTATTGGTATTCAGAAATTTGGTTTTTTATTTGTTATGTATATTTTTATGAATACATTGCTACATATGAGCATGACCTCTCTCAGAGAATCCTATCATATCTCTCCTACATAGGTCGTACCGGTGGTGGCATCCTTGGAACCAAAAATCATATTGTACTGACGAAGCTACTGACGAAGCTGTTCCGGGTACTTGGCCGACGATTCTTCCCCTGTTGAGGCTGTTCCCAGTGATTACAGCTCCCAGAATTTCTAGAGAATGACGCTTATTTTTTGCCATATTGAAAATGAAAAGACCTGGGCAACTTAATAGGATTTTCGGTTACAACTTTCAGCTGAGTAAACAAGTAGGATGCAATTATTATTGATCTGAATCTCTCTACAACCACTCATGCTCCATCCCTCTACCCACCTCCCACTTTCTCTTTCAACTGATGGAATCTTAACTGATCCCAATGCTTGATAAGTTATTACTTTGAGGACCACTTACCACTTTTACCATTCGGATTTCCGAATAATACAGAAGAATGTTTTGTCATGCTTCGGATTACGATTTCTAAAAAAGGTCGGGTTGAAAGTTTTGATTTTTCAGGACCGCCGGATATCCTTGTCTACCTATTCTCATGTATTCCCCCAACTACATTCTATGCCCCTTCCTTTCCAAAAATGATCTGTCCGATTTGTATTATGAAAATCGATGCTGTTTATTACTGCCACCATTCACATTGGTGACAAAACCCCCTGCAGCGGCCAACTTCACATTGGGACAGTCCTAGCCCATGACTGCATCAATGCAGACCCAAGGCCCTCAGCAAAATTGAAAGCATATCTTGCTAACTCCATGAAAAGTCGACTATGTTATCGCCTGCTTTCAAATCCTCACCCTTCAAGATTGTCACAACTATGGTGAAAATAAATATTCGAAAAAATGTAGCACAATTTGGAACTGAGTGGATCTCCTGCTTGATTTACTTCTGAAGGTTCAAGCTATGAAAACAAAATAATAACCTGAATAACATTCTCAATGATTACCGTTGCAAAACGGGTGCGTGGCGCACTCCAACATGGTCAGCTAACATTCTATACCCCTTCCTTTGCTATACTTTTTAAATAGACTATTGAATATTTTCGTGTTTTTTTCCTCAGAAGCAGTTTTTTTCCTCAGCATCTCCCTCCAGGATCCAACTGTACTCATTATGTCCACTGCTTCTCACATTCAATTATTAACTTCCGAATGGTATTGTACTGTTTCAGCGGCACAAGCGTAGTATCACTCGGATGGACACCTTTCGAGAAAATGCCATCGAGACGGTAAGTCATCCACAAATTTTTTGGTTCGCTCTCTGTAACCCAGACCAGGGTAGGGAAGGGCAGGCAGAGAAATGGGTCAAACAAATCTCACTGACCCATTACAAACGGACAGGCGTTGAGGAGGTAGAAAAAGCTAAGTCGTGTCATGGTACTAAGCGACACAAGAGGAAATAATTGGCAGAACTCCTACGAAACTCGTACGTTACTGTACATGAGATGATAAAAGGCATGAACTATAGTGCTACAATGACTGTAAAATAAAGGCCGCACAGAAGAAAAGTAGTTTGAATAGAGAACAATGGACGATCACAAACTGTATAGAGAATTACTAATTCCACCTACTAATTCGAGCAAAAATGTAGTTCACAAAAGGGACAGCAGCGCAGTGGCTAGCGGTGCTACAAGCATGCGACGGATAGAGGATCGAGGTCCGAATGACTCTCAATACATTACATTGATTGTAGCTTTCCCAAATTACCCTCTTAATCTGGGCGGAGGTGGTGTAGTGGCAAATGGCGCACTACCTCACATGCATGGTCAGGGGTTCATTCCCAGATCAATATCCGCATAGGCCAACCAAGCTTTCCATCTCTCCGGGGTCGGTTAATTGGTACCGGACTCGTCTGGGAGGATAAAAGCACGGAATTGTACATCGGCTGGCCACCGCAAGTCATTGTATAGGCCACATACGCATTCAGTACGCCACTACGATTCTGAATGGAAGTCGAGTGCGGGGGCGCATCCCTCAGACAGGACTGATGAACGCCAA